TGTACAAGTGTATTACAAAGTGAATCTCACAATAAGCACAATATAAATCAATTGATTGTTCTCTAAACAAGGTGAGAACTCAATTAAGCACAACTCTTAGTCACAAACCCACAACCCCAAATTATACTATGAATGTAAATACAATAAGCTCAAAAGGTTGTGTGTGAACAAAGAGATATAAATCAAAACTAAACTCAATGTAGTTCTAGCTTAATAACAATGATAATCAAATATATAAAAAAGCTAGAAATAGTTTTCAACGTTCACCGATCAACGTTCACTCCTCACATTCGGTTTTCTAGTTCACCGAAAACTTCACAACACACTCTCGGTTTTCTAGCTCACCGAAAACCTTACACCACTCACAATGTAACAAATATAAATTTGTTCTCTACAATAGGTGAGAACTCAATTAAGCACAACTCAATGTTACAATCTCTCACAACCCTAATATACTATGTATGCAAATACAATAAGCTCAAGTGGGTGTGTGTAACAATGAGATATAAAATCAAATCTAAACTCAATATAAAACTAGCTTTCATAGAAATGATAATCAACAAATAATTATAAATAAAAGCCAGAGTTGAGTTTAGGAAAACTTATCTAGATGACAAGAGAGAGAGATGGATTGAATGCCCAAAATACAATTGATAATCTCCTCAAACTCTCAACGGCTATATTGTCGGTCGACCGAAAATTCCGTCGGTCGACCGATGGAAAATTCGGTCGACCGATGGAAAGTTCGGTCGACCGTTATCCAGGTCGAAAACGAGAAACCACAAGCTGACATCTTCGGTCGACCGGTGCGGTCGACCGATGGAGCTTTCGGTCGACCGGACCGGTCGACCGACAGACTCTCTGTCGCCCAATGCTGAAAAACCAACTGATCGGTCGACCGGGTCGGTCGACCGAAATCTGACACAGCTGAAAAAACCTGATTTGCTGATTTTAAAAAGCTGTTTAAAAATATCAAACAAATTCCAAAAAATGTAAAACTTTGGGGAATGATTGTAGACATGATAATACACATGCTACAAAAATTGGTTTTCTCATAAAAACAGGTTTTTGACTCATTTAAACAATTTGTAAAATATTCATTTGACTTCTGAAAATTATGAAACTTTGGGAATTGTATATAAACATGTAAATGAACATGTTACAAAAAGAATTTTCCAAATTGCATTTCCCATTTGTGAAAAATCATCATTTTGCAAAATAGTTCAAAAACATGAAAACCTGAAAATTGATATTTTGATATTTTGACTTAAACAACATTTTGAAACCTTATGAAATGATTGTATAGACTTGATAAAAGATATAACATGTTGTTATGAAGTCTATAATCTAGAAATACAATATTTTCATAAATTTGCATATTCTATGCAATATATTCAAAACACTAAATATGATTTCATTAAATATAAGCTTGTTAAAGGGAAAATCATATATAGGCATATAAACATGAAACAAAATAGTATTTTCCAATTCTATTCATTTGTTTCATAGTAAAACTTGAAAACTATCAAACCAAAACATATATGTATATATATAACTATATATATACAAAATTCAAAAACGTGTATGTGTGTATATGATTGAGCTTAAAGTACTAACACACATAATATAAATTCCTAAACTGAATTACCCAAGCAATCTTGATTTTCAACGAAGCTCTTTCTTGGTAATCTTGCGGATGAAGCTTGAACTTGGATCTTGAACTTTGAATAGCAAGGCTTCACCGTCATTCCGCCAACCTCCATTTGATATCATCGTTGAAGCTCTATTCCATCCATCCTCCAACTACGTTGTTTGTCTACAAAACATAGGAATGTACAAACACTAGACAAACAACATTAGTAATAAATTGTTTGTTAAACATCATCAAAACAAGAAGGCCAACAGAATTATCTAACACCGACAAGCGAATCAATGAACTGTTGATGACGTGGTCCGCACGCCCATCGGCCACCAAATCGGAGAACCGACTGGCACGTGCACTCACCAGACACTTCCAAGTGGTCTGTGCACTTATCAGCCAGCTCTAAGTTTCCTGCGTGCTCACCAACCACCATTAAGTGGCTCGCACGCTCATCGACCACCAAAACAACGTACAAGTCAACGAAACGATGAAATACGCGTAACGACGGTATAAGTCAAAACCCAAAAAACCAATAAAAACCACTGGCGGTCGAGTCACATTGAAATTATCTCGAACCAGTGGTTTGGTCCATAACTAGGTCACCAAATGGTGGCTCGGCCACCATTTGGTGACCTGGCCAAGGCCGAGCCACCGGGTGACGCATCGGCCAGATTTGATCTAAAAATATGATTTTTTGGTTTTGACGAATTCTCACGGATTTGTTTGTTCCTGAGCATCCCAACTGATCTGATACTATGGTTAATCAGTTATTAATCGAAGATAAGGAGGAATCCCTCATTTTTTATCCAAGTACCCGCATCTAAAACCTATAAATACGAGCTCGGGTGCTCATTTCTAGGGGTGGAAATCAAGAGGGTGAAACGCTACCGAATTGGGGAGTGGAGTTATGAATTTACAGCGAGGGTTAGCAGATCTTGGCGATCTCCTGTGCATAAAGAGTGAAGTTTGAGAGATCTGAGACCCGTTCCCTATTACTCTAGATTTAAGCTTAGTCTTAAATCTCGAGAAGATCCGTGATCTCGCTTGGTCAAGATCATCGCTGTAGCGATTACTTCCTTCGTGAAGTAAGAGCTTTGATCATTAATCTATCAACCGGATCTGATCCGTGGCGGTCCACGGATATTAATATCCCCGACACAGGCAAAGTTCCCACGCAAGCAGTGGGTGATAAACATATGTTGCGCTGTTTGGCAAGCGTCGTATCTTTTTTTTATTATTGTATAAGGAGATCTTACAAAAAGATTAACTTTTTATTTTAGTTTATTGTAAACGATTAAAGTTGTAATAGACTCAATCACAATAAAAACAACGATTTTTGAACCAAACACTTACCAACATAGCAAGCTCAGCATCTTTAACCTGCGAAGTTCCTTCGTGTGTATCTTCTAGTGTTTTCTAAATTTAATGCCCACTTATCCTTAGTTAGAACAGCCGTAGTACCATCTACTTCAGTAATAGGTTCTTTATACTAATATTCTACACTCTCCCAAGCATCTAAGCTAGTGGATGATAGAAAAACTTTATACATGCTTTCTAACATGTGTAATTGGTGCCATCGAAAGTGGGGGTCGGTTGACTGCATGTCCTTTAGGAAAAGCTAAAACGGTGGTAAGTCTTGAGATCTCTATCCTAAGTTGTGATACTTATAGACAAGTAACAAGGCACCCGTATCACTTGTTAGAAACGGGACGTATGCCTAGGGGGTGAATAGGATTGCTATAAATTTTTTAGATAGACACAGAACACGCAACGGAAAATAAAAATAAAAAAGTAAGAGCAAGCAACATAGAAATACATGAGATTTTTATAGTGGTTCGGATCAAAAGCCTTAAGTCCTCTCTTACTTCTCGTGAAGTTTCTTCTTCACTATGGCCGGAGTTATATCTTAATTATAACCCGATTCAATAGGTTTTATTAATAAGACTTAGAAACTAGCTAAAACCAGTCGAGATACATAGCTCCTGATAATGAACAGAAGAAACCTAGCCCTAGCTAGCTACATTCAATTACCCTGGCTTGAGCACACCAACCTCAATTACTCGGCTTGAGTATGTCGTTAAACTCACAAGTTAGAATTACAAGCCCAACCTAAAAAATATTTAAAGCACAATTGAAAAAATCTTATAGCCATTTTAACAAACCACCCTTCAAATCGATGACGTTGAAAATCTATGAAGAAGCAGCGTTGAAGTCGAACAAAAATGACACTCATCCTCGCTAAAACATTCTCATGATATTGAACGCGATGTGAAGAAGTTGAACGAGACTCAGAGAATCAAATTCTTACTCAAACTCTCACAAATCCTAGAATGTGATCTCTCTAATATATGCATATCTCCTTTCTCTTTCATGTTGTTAATCCTTTCTCCAATTCCTCTTTAAATAGACCTTGATTGTATTGGAAAGAAGTCCTCTAATTAGTGTTGAAATAGGAGATCACGTCTATAATCAAATGGCTGAGATTAAATCTAAAAATATGCCAAAACATGTCCAAATAATTAATGGTTAAACCCGATCATCGATGATTCCCTATAGTCCATCGATTATGCAACTTCTGATTTTTGAAATTCACAGATTGTTTACTATAGTCCATTGATTGTTGAAGCAATCATCAATGGTTGACTGTAATCCTCGATGATTTGATTTCTCATTTTTGAAAAATACAAATTGTTGACTGTAATCCATCAATGACCTATGGATAATCGATGGTTGCTTCATAACCATAGGTGGTTCACTAGTGGAAAAACAGGCATCGTTGACGGGCATTCCCGTCAGGAATGCTTAAAATCCCGTCAGCGATACGTATCGCTGACGACATACCGTCAAGGATATTCCGTCAGCGATAGTCCCGTCAGGGAAGAAGTATCGCTGACGGGGCCCCATCAGTAATACTTATTACTGACGGGAACAACGCTGACGGCGAACGTCGTCAGTGATGTTATGAACATCGCTGACGGGATCCCCGTCAGCGATACCTATTGCTGACGGGTGGCCCGTCAGCGATAATATTACCAGCTAAAAAAAATTAGCTGATAATCAGTTCCCCTTCCCTGTACATTCCATAACAAATATCCCTGTACATTCAATCAATTCCCTGTACATTCCATAACAAATATCAATTCACTGTACAAATCTGCAAACAACGACATTTCTTGCACATTCCAAAACATCTCGAAACATATGCAATCTAAATTTCACAAACATCTCTCATTCAATCAATTTTCACAAATATTCGAAATATGTACATTCAATTTTCATAATAAGTTCTAAATCCACAAAAAATTCCACAACAAACCATACACGCATATCTTAAGTTCTAAATCCACAAAAAATCCCATAACAAACCTGTACACACATATCATAAGTTCTAAATCCACAAAATTTTCCACAATAGACCATACACGCATATCATAATCTCCAATATACAAACACGAGTTTAGGATATAACTCACTAAGATAGGTCATCCGCCCTATCCATGTCATCGTCCGCGTTGCCACTTGCGGCTCCATCCCTACGACTCGTGCTCCCAATAGCATCATCTCCACCCTAACAAAAAAAATAATTTAAATTTAGAATCACATAATATTGTGTGTAATCATATTTTACATATATAATAAGTATACCTGTCTGCTACTCTCTCCACTACCAGTAAATGCCTTTTGAGTGGCCAAGAAATTCATAATCTGGCTTTGCACCCGAGTAGGAACCCGCCTTCTACAAGATTTCATTATTTGCCTAGAAACCATCGCAAAAGTAGCAGTAGGCTGGATCACTCGCATAAGCTCCTCTTGAATATCCTGAAATCGGCGGAGGCTGGAATTGTGTAGACACCCTCTGAGCTCCAACTCCCATCCACCTGGTCCTCCCTTTTTTGGGAAGTCCACAAACTAAATGGCTCACATTATAATTCTGCTCTCTAGTCAGGGGCTCCTGGCTCTGTGCAACAACCTCAGAATATGTGTTTTCCAGAGCTTCCTAGAAGACAAAAAAATAAATTTAAGAATTGGCCTTTCACACAATAAATTATCGTCTGCATCTCAAAAACTAATATGTAGTTTTCTTAATGATCCAAGTGACAACAACAATCATTTGTCATGCAATGATATAATCTGGTAAGTAAACATTTCTTGGAAGTCTAATCCAATTTCAATCAATCCAAACCTATCAATTGTTTTTCTTCTAACGTAATCATTCAACTTTAAATTAACAGAATATGTATGATTAATAGCAGGTGTATTTCATTCAGATGAGAAAATAATGTAAAAACTTCTCATCCACAATCAGAGCATTCAAGACCTACAGTTAAATGGACCAAGTATATCAAAAAGAAAAAGTATTATCACAGATTCTCAAACATTGCCATATTTTATAAACAACATATGTGTCATTAAAATGCTGCAAATAAGAAAATGATACATTTCAGACACTATAACAATTGTTGGTTTTAGTGTGTCATGGCTACTGTGGATAAAGAAACCATTGCTTTCATTGATTCATCCACTGAGTACAACAGTAAGAATACAACAATTGCACCTACACACCCTTAATAAAAGATGGGTTACAAAGAGAATAAACAGAAGGCATTGAACAAGACATTCAATGAGAAAAAAGTATTAAACAAAAACCTTTGATACTTCACCTTTTCCTATCTTTTCTCTCCAAATAGCCTATGACTCATAAATACACAGTTTACACTCACTATATGAAGAAATACTTCGACATGTGCTCATCTACCCACCAACAGCAAACCAAACACTTTCTTCTTTCTTTGCATACACCACTCTCAAACTTTATACCATTATTGATTGCTTTTTCTTTTGAACTTCGACCTAAACCATGTGAGATGTCATTGTAAAGTGCTCTATATATCTTCAAAACAGAGCAGGACTCAAAATGTCTCAATCAGGATAGCTTAGGAACAAACTGCTTCAACTGCTAATCTCTTTAATACATTTGGACATGGGTCTTGCCCAAAATTGTCATTGGTGATCGTTACTGCACATCTCTCTTGGCCCATGCATCGCTGATATGATAGAATGTATGTTATTGATTTATTAAAATAAAACTGCATTTGATCATGAGCTAAAGCTACCTAATGTTAAGTTGTGGTGAAATAGCGCAATTCAGTAGCAGCTGTATCACTGTCTGATGAAGCATGATGGAGAAAAGAAAACCAGAAAATAGATATGAAGCATGATGGAGAAAATTGCTAATTAAATCAAAAGTTGAAAGTACCTACAACGTGGGGGCATTTATCGAGAAAGTTTAATATAAACTTGCCACCATTCCAAATATTTAACCATAAATTTAAGAATTGACCTTTCAAAAATAAAAGATATATTTACCTGAACAAGTAAAATAAAAGATGAAGTAGTTCCACAATTGAGGAGGCTAAGAGCTAATAAATGGTTGAAGGGTGTTTTGTGCAACGGTACCATACTGAAGCCTTTCAACTGTGCAATTCATGTATGATAATTAAGATGACCAAAAAGACGAGTGTAAACAATAAATTCCCAACAAAAAAAACAGACGGTAATTAGTTAACCTGTATTTTCTTGGCCAATTCTAGCTTTTGTTTCCTACTCTCATCGTCATCGTACCCCTTCTTAAATTGAACCATCGTCCTCCTGTGCAGTTCTGGTAGCGGGATAAAGGGAGCGTTCTGAGATTTAAAAATATATTTATTAGTTTTATTTATCAAATATTCTATGAAGCAGAGAGAATATATATAGAAGATGATAAGACTTTATTTACCGTTGTCCTACAAAATTGATCCTCAATCTGGGCAAATGAAGTAGTCCCCGTATGATGATCATAATCTTACTTCCATCGATTTTGTTTATTTCTCTGACATTTTTTCTTCAACATGAACAAAGAGAAGTTTAGTACAAGCTATAATATACAATGAAATATATCACTAGTTTCAGATAAATAACTTGATGATAATTAACTACTATACATATTTACCCGGTGCTCCTCTTGGCCCCACAATACTATAAGTGCAGCTAAGTGCTCAGGCTCAACCCTCTTATCTCGTTTGTATATCCTCTCCTAGTTATGAGTGAAACAATCAACACATTTCTTCTTTAACTCATGTCTCCACTCCCGAAGAGAATGCTTGAACTTTCCCGTGTATCCAAATAAAAATTCTCACCCTACGGGATTGTCTTCGATGTTGAAATATCTCTAAAAATTAAAATATAGTTAAGCATGGACAATAATTGACAGAATTGAAAAAAAATTATGCTAAATAGAAGAATTTACCCAACAATCTCGATATATACTCTCCAGAACATGAAATGGCTGCTCCTCAGCCTCGTAATAAGGATTCACGTTATCACTCCTCCGTATCAAGCATCCAAGGTATGAGCTAAAGTTATTAGCCCATTGTCCGGTTGGAATCCCATTGTGTCCCCATCTCACAATTGCGCGAAAACCATCCGAGGGTAACTTCTTTTTAAAGTCACTTCCTTGGCGTTCTTTTTTCTGGTAAAGTTTTTCGCCTACAACAAAGAAAAAAATAATAGATATATCAATACATATGGATTGTGACAAATGGATTGTGACAAATGGATTGAGTATAAGTAATTACACGCATGATTAATCTAACAGTTGAGGCTCAGCTTAGTGATTCTTAAGATTCTTCTGTATGGGTATGAATTAGCTTTCACGGCTTAACATAAAGCTTGCCAAAAGCTCCATTTTTTTACTAGAAGATAACATTGTTTTATAACATCAATTTGTTGTGTGCATGAACTATGTGGAGGGGACTTTTCCTATCAGAGGACTGGTTACCTCTTATTGAGAAATTTGAAAATACATTGACTTCATAGAAAGGTTCTGTCAAAATTTTGAAATAATGGCCTTTTGATAGACAAGGCCTTATTTGTTCATTCTGTATGGGGACTTTTCCTAAGTTAGAATTTCAATATAAATGCAAAGGAAAAAGTTCAAAAGTTATACACTTTTTCAAACATTAGATATATGTTTAATCTCATAAATGCAAAGGAAAAAGTTCAAAAGTTATACACTTTTTCAAACATTAGATATATGTTTAATCTCAACGCCACTTGCAAGCATTAATTTTCAAAAGTTATACACTTTTTCAAACATTAGATATATGTTTAATCTCAACGCCACTTGCAAGCATTAATTTAGCTGAGTTGTTCTAAGATTAATCATCCAAATAATACACAGAATCAAGGCATCCATCACTAAATAATAGACCCAGAATGAAATTTTTTGATCTAACTCACCAAATCTTTGTCTGATTTCATTTTTTGCATCAGATAAAATCTCATTAATCTGTGGGCCTCATTCATCCAATCGTTTTTTCGCAAGCATGTATTTTTCTGTATGCTTGAGTCTGTACCCCTCTGCACATGCTGGTAAAGGCCCGCGCTCAATCCCGGGAATACATGCTCGAAGTAGCACTGGAGGATCTGCATATAATGGTATGGTAATGGGCTCTTCCTCACCCTCACCTAAAAGAAATAAATTATCATTATGCATATATCATGAATAAAAATACTTAAGTTAAACTAAGATATACCTGACATCTCTCCTGAACTCAATGCCTCTTCCTCGGTGGATTGGTCTTGACTGGGGTTAGCTTCGAATAACCTCCTGTTAATGTTTTTAGACATCTGCAAGTTGAATAAACATACAAATTAATATATTATAGATGTAATTTGGCTTGGCGAAAATAAAAACAATATGTATTGTTGTGTTATTAAAATTTTCATTTCACATCAAGTTTGTAGGCATCTGCAAGCTGGATATATAAAATAAGATATTACATATTTATATCGTCCAAAAGGTAATTGAGATACATCGTAGTGATATTAAAGTTTTCATTTTGATGTTTCTTTCTCTAACTGTCATCAAGCCACCAAAAACTATTATTCATTGATAATGAAGACTAGGTCCCTTTCCCGTGAAATTCCAAATACAACCAAGTTTAAAAGATATATGTGCACGAATGTTTGTATACATGTATATATATGTGCATGCATTATATATTTAGGCATACGTGACGTGTGTACATATATCTTTTAAAGGTTCAACTTTTATCAAGACAAAGTATATATTATTTGATTAAATGGCGCCATCAATCATTGCTGGCTATTATAGGAAAACAGTTATGCACAGATTTTTTTTTCCAGTGGCAATTATTTTCATGGTGTTTATAGATATAGATGTATGTTCATACGTATTTATTTAAATCACAGTACTACAACGACATTCTTGCACAACATCCTTATAATACTAAATTTCAAAATCCTAACCCTTATCTTTACTACTCCAATCATGCAATTCCAACAAATTACCACAATACGCGTGCAACATCATTGAAACATAAACTTAGAACCCTAACTCTAATTTGAACGTCTATACCACTCAAAATCATTAAGAAAATATTTTAAAAAGTAATCTATACTCGTTCAATCGTACAATAAGATAGAATCAAATCAAGTTTTCAAAAACTAATCCAACAGCAACAAACCAAACAATCAAAATTTCAAAACCCTAACCTGCGTGGTCTTTCCACTACCAGTCTCACCAACAAGAACAATGGTCTGATTCTTCCTGACAACCTGTGGGGGGTGGACTTTAGCGAGGGGGGGAATGTTCGGAAGGGTAAATTTTGGAACAACATCGCTGACGGGTACCCCATCAGCGATGTTCACAACCCGTCAGCGATGTTTACATCGCTGACGGCAACCAAGAAATGGTGACGGCAACATCACTGACGACAATTCCCGTCAGCGATATAAACAACACTGACGGGAATTTCCCGTCAGTGATGTTGCCGTCAGCAAAAGCCCTATTTCCACTAGTGGTTAAAGGCTGAGATCAAGTGTTCATGTTGATTTTTGCATCGTTTTGAAGAGCAACTTGTTCGTACCTATTTGTTGCTGACGTATATCATCTCACAAAATAATTAGTACCAAATGAGAGTTTGTTATTGATCAAACAAGAGATATTGCACGAACAACATTCTACCTGAACATAGTTCTAACACCTATTCCTTCTTTAGTGGACTTTCTTGAAAAATATATAATATAATCAGGATAGAAGATAATAGCTTTGCTTCCATAGTGAGATGAACATAATTATAGTCTATTTGGATGGACACGTATAATCTTGTGAAAATTGACTCATATTCTTTTCATTAATTTTCTCCGTCAATGAAAAACTTTATTCGTTACCAAGTATAATCTTATACATTTTTAGGATCAGGCATCCTTAATCTGTTACGTTTATAAAAAAAAAAGAAATCCTCAACAAAAACAACCATCAGACACCCTATACAACAACCAACCACTCAAAAGCCAAACATTATATGTCATCATCTATAACAACATTAATTCTTAAAGCATGCACTGTTTCTATGTGGAACTTTAGTCCCGTTTGCAAAGGATTAAATGTGGGGTTAAGAGGAGAGTTAACCCCTTCTTAGCCGCCAAAAATAAAAATAAAAAATTACAAAAGGGTGTACAGTGAGTTAAACCTTTATAATTTGTCAAACACAAAAAATAGTAGAAAATTTCCAAATCCCTCTGGAAGGGTTAAAACGAGTTAAGCTCTCAAAAGGAGGGGTTTACAAAATCCAACTATTAAGACGGGTTAAGAGATATCCTCTCTATTTGTAAAGAAAGTGGTCATGATTCTTTTCTATTTCCAAATAGAAAAAGTGACCATGAGGATTGTACTAGACTAACCTAACGGATTAAAAAATTTAACCCTTCGGATATATATATTAACAAGTGGGCTAACTATTATAACCGTTCTCCTCGATCTCTTTCTCGTTAACCCTTTTGCCAAACGGGGCATTAGTGTGAAACAAGATAGTAAGCATGTCAGCCTTAATTTATTTCACAATAATGTTATGAACCCTCTCGAGCCAATGAATTTACCACTCGATGACATGATTCCAATCACAGCTCCTGAATGAAAAACACAACCATCCCGTAATTTGATTCGAGACATCACGAGAAAATGGACGAGAGTGGGTTTTCTCGTTGCTCGTGCACAGAACACGTATATTAGACGGACAAATTTTCAAAACCAACCTTTTTGATTTTTTTTATTTGTAAAAAACAACTCATTTTCAAAATATTTGTAAAACCCGACCTGGTTTCAGCCTCAGCGCTGAAACCAGGTGGTTTTTGAAAAAAAGTTTCCGAAACTTCGCGGGAGTTGAACTCCCGTGAAGTTTAGCAGCTTTTAATTAAGCTGCTAAACTTCACGGGAGTTCAACTCCCGTGAAGTTTCACAGTTCAAAATTTTTTTTTAACTGTGAAACTTCACGGGAGTTGAACTCCCATGAAGTTTAGCAGCTTAATTAAAAGCTACTAAACTTCACGGGAGTTCAACTCCCGTGAAGTTTCGAAAACTTTTTTTCAAAAACCGACCTGGTTTCAGCGCTGAGGCT